TGTGTGTGTGTGTGTGTGTGTGTGTGTGTGTGTGTGTGTGTGTGTGTCACAAACGTGAACTTGGTAGCCAATCAACAGGCACACAAAACAAACAGTTCAATGAAAGGCTTTCTGAGGTTACACCAAAATACGCCTAAGATAAGAATCAAAAGGCTGAAGCTGATATGAAAGCTTACTACAATTATTGTAACAAGATAAATGGCAATGCCTCTTGGTTTCCGGTTTGACACACACACACACGCACGCACGCACACACACACAGCGTTGGCCTGTGTCATCTGTGGGGCGGACTGTTGTTTTCCTGCTTGCCGTAGTTTTCTCCCTTTTGTGTGAGCAGGGAACATTCTTACATCGCACTCAACCTGAAACGAGTTAAACCCCTCTAAGCTAGTCTAGTGCTAACCATTAGCTTAGCTTCCCTCTGCGCTCTATGCTCTCACACCTTGCTAGCCTGTCGGCCGACTGCCTGGTAGTGAAGTACGCAGCTGCCGGTTCCTGTAATATTGGTCGTGGTCATATCATTTTTTTTTTTTTTTGGTGGTGAGCTCTGTGGGAGTCACACCTTCGGCCCTCCCTGTGTGTCATCTGCCCGCTTCTCAGAATTGATCCCGATGCACTCATGTGGTCAGACGATTACTGTAAGCTGTAGGGAATCTGAGGTTTGATTAGGCAATTGTGACATCTGTCTATTTCCGTACGTTTGGAGCTATTGTTATTAATGTGTTTTCTATCAGTCTGGATCTATAGAGTTTAGAACAAAACCGATCGGAGCAAGTTCACCTTTTACTTTCGCAAACTGTGCAGAGTCGCAGCCCCTCCGAATGATCGGGGGTGTCTTTTTTTGGCCTGACTTGAAGTCTGTTGCTAGGGGGGAGGCCTGTAGGCCTGGTGGGAGTGGAAGGCTGGAGGGAGGGTCGGATCTTTACAAAGCCACACAGCTGAAGCGAAGGCCCGCCGAAGCACTTGCAGCTGTCAGTCACATGGCTTACAGTAAAATGGGTGACAGTGAGAAGGGGAGGAAGGATGAGAAAATAGGGAGGGAGAGAGGGAGGGAGGGAGGGATAAGGGGGTGTGAATAGTGTCGGATCAGGGTGACATCACCGCATGTCGAAAGAGGTGTGGTTGAGGAGAAGTTGCGGAGTAGGCAGCAGGGTAGAGGCAAAGGAAAGGCCACCCAGCGCTCTACAGTGTGAGAGTGTCTGTGTTCGAGCCCTGGCAGAGGCAGCAGTACAGACGGCAGGGCAGTGTTCCTGTGCCATTGGTTGGGATCGTCTGGAATGTCGTCTGACTACACGTCAGTGTGAGACAGTGGTTTGCACGCACACACAAACACACACACAAATACACACACACACTAGCACACAAACACACACGCATAAGCAAATTGACTGAGAATCTGTCTTTGGCCCCTCATCCAATAGTAAACTCTCAACTGCCCATTATATGTGGTTGCTACTGTCTGACCTTCTCCGAGTTTGCCAGTTGCTCAGGTTAGTGAATTGTTGTTGTAGAATTGCTCACATTGAGTTGCTAATATAACCGGCAAGTTTCAATTCAGTTTGAATTGCTGCGGTGTCGGGCACACTTGGTACGAGGGAACTTGCGAACATTTACGGTACGTTTTTGGTTTTAATTGCTGCCCTTCATCCTCCGATGCCACACACTGGACTGAGTGAAGCAGCATGGCAACAAATATATATATATATATATATATATATATATATAATTTATCAAATGTTTAGTCAGCAGAAACACAAAATCTGATTTATGTAAAGACATTTTAGATGTAGGCTGTTTTCATCGTGGATGTGATTTAAACACATCTTTGGTCATTGATGATGTTTTATGTTAATTCAGCAGCTATCGGATGACTTTTGCCAAGATAATCATCTGACTGTACTCTTATCCGCACACGGCTATTTGGAATCTGATCTGATTCAGAATCTTTGAAAGTTTGCACTTACAAGGAAGTTGATGACCTACTCCTGTGGGAGCACAATGTACCGACTTATAAAGAAGTACAGTAGTATTACAATATGAAAGGAACGGGTGGAATAAGAAAAGATAAGCGAGTGGGCTCGAGGTTTTTTTCTTTTCTCTTTCTGTTCTTCATCTTCTGCTCGGTTGAGAGGTGACTTCTCTTTTGTCTCTTCTCTGCTTCCTGTAGCTTTCATCCCCTTCCTTTTCCTTTCACCGACGTGTCTGACAGTTCTTTTTTTTTATCGCTGCCGCTCTCGATTCATCTCGATGCATTAGGCGCAGATGAGCCTGAACGTATGTTTGTAGTGCCGCAGTTCAAACGTTTCTCTGGTCCAAACATTATCAACCAATTACAACGGATGCATTTTTATCGAGATCATTTTTTGAATTAAAATAAAAGTCACACCATCAAGTAGGAGCGCATCATGAACCAACCAAAGACCATATTTCAGGCTCCCACCATCCCCATAATGCACTCGGCGAGCCCACCGGCATCCCGCAGACTCCCAGAATGCCACAGCAGGATGGCAAAAAGAAGAAGAAGCGACAGAAAGTTTTAAAAACACAGTGAAAAAGTGACAGCAGAGCAGCACAAACTTTCCCATTGTGCTCATGGCCTGCCCGCTCCACATCAAAGCGACCCTTTTTAAAACGGCTCGGGATAGAAATCATACGGCCCGCTGGAGGATCTGATTTTGAAATAACTCTCCTTTTGTCCCGACCCGCCAGCTTCACAGACAAGGGACGGGCTAAAGAATCGCCTTCCCAAAGATGACACTGGAAACTGTAGAATGGGCTCGCCGGTGTAAACCGCTGATGCACTTTCCGTACATCAAAAGAAGTGTCAAAATGAGCCAGGCTCACCATAATCAGATGGCCAATGGGGCAGGGTAATGAGATTTGGCATTAAGTGGAATCAAGGCGAATAAGGCCGCCCGGACATGAAAGGGAACGAGAGCTCCTCCTTTATCATGAACGTCACCGGCCATATGACAATGAGTTTTTATAAACGCCACTATTGTATGTGTGGACTTCAAACATGTTGAGCGCCGGGGCTTTATCTGTCTCTCACACGCAGCTGGGCTCTGACTACGGGAGAGTGGGGGAGGGAGGGAGGGAGGGAGGGAGGAAAGGGAATTCAGTTTGAGTGGTGGAAGGAGAACGAGTGAGAGAGGTCAACCTCTCCCACCAGTTTGAGACTGATCTGTTTTTCCCATCAAAAGGTCACCAGCTGTTGACCCCACCTCACCCCTTCATTCTCCCCCCCTCCCTTTCTCCTCCCCCATTCTTTCCCTCCCTGCTTTGCTCTGGCTCACTGTAGCCACTGTCTGCTGCTCTGTCGTGTGTGTGTGTGTGTGTGTGTGTGTGTGTGTGTGTGTGTGTGTGTGTGTGTGTGTGTGTGTGTGTGTGTGTGTGTGTGTGTG